GGTATCGTCTCTGAGCCACTCAGAGTAATCTTCAACCGCTCCTCGCAGAAGGTCTTCAGCAACTCCTTCTTCTTGCTGTTCTTGTTCAGCTCGGTGATCCACTGACGAAGATCCGTTTTCTTCGTGCCCGAGGTCGTTTCTCCATTCAACTCCATGAGCTCGGTCAGCCTGTCTCTCAACTCCACGTTGCTCCACTCTCGTGGGGGTTCCTCGCCTCGGGCGCGGATCGCATCCTGGAGCTGGGCCTTGTTCATCCGCATCATGGCTTGCCGCTTGGAGTCGCTGAGGAAGGAGGACCTGGGGACACTGCTCTGAGCGTTCACACTGGCTTCCGGCATTGTCGTTCGTCGGGGCTGCTGCTCCACATCCAGAAACGGAAAAATCAGCACCAAAACGCTCACTAGCCACATTACACTGATTCGGAGGACTCTGACATGTCTCACTACCCTGTCCTGGTCTATACACTGACGAAACCTCCCTTTTGACGCCAGGATCGTCATCCGGGAGGAGCTGTCCCTACAGGAACGTATCTAACGAGGGAACCGGTTTGTTGGTTCCTCGGGCATTCGCAAAAAGATCTGCTGTCAAATCCAGGAGTTGATGTCCCGTTTGGGACCGCTTCAGGGAAATCACCTTGCAAGGGTCAAGCTCGCGAAACACTGCCAAGTCTCGGCGAAAGTCGATCAGGGCGTCCAGCTTGCGAAGGGCGTCAATCGAGAAGAGCACGGGGCCTTCGCCCTCGTCTAGCGCGTGCACAGTGATCTGGCCCGGCTTGTTGTCGGCGTTCACACCGAGGTGGATGGTGGAAACGCACTGGCCCTCGGTTGAATTGCCAAACCCGAACACAGGTCGCTCGAAAAGATCCACCTTCTGGACTCGGTCTTCTCCGTACTTCTCGATGTTGCGCTGGAACAGCTTCTCCAAGGCCTGCACCGACCCTAGTGTCTTGGTAGCTCCTCCATCAATGACGCAGCAACCTGCGGCCACGGCATCCTGCGTTGTCGGGCCTGCTGACATGGCGTCCTCGGTGGTCTGGGCGTAGCGCACGAAAGGCGCCATCTGCTTGGAGGAGCTGGCCTCGTTCTGGTCCTTCGCCTTGTTCGGGCAGTTCCTTGCACGATGTCCGACACGTCCACACTTCAGGCAGGTCATGCCAGAATCATCTCGGGGCCGGCTGGACCCGTCCTTGTCACGAGGCATGTAGTACTTCCTGGCCATCTTAACCTGGTGTTGTTTCTCCCTGGCCGCCTTCAATGTTCTCCGAGCGTCGCGAAGAACTGCACACGCGCTGTTGATCTCGTTCTGGTTCTCCACCCATAGGGCTGATCCTTCCTCGTCGAGGTTGTCGTTCAGGTCGTCGTGGAAGTGCTCATTCTCATCCTCGAACTCCTCCTCGGCGATCTCCCCCAACTCCTCGCCGAGGTAGGCCTGCACGTGTGACTCCTTGCGACGATGGTCGTGGTCTCCATGTTGGGTTCGCAGTTCATGCGACACTCGTGACAGCGTGTAGTCTCCCGCCACCGCCGTATGGATCAAGTTCCGCTCGTAGGTCGTGAGCCCAGCATCTGCCAGGAGGTACCAGGCCTGCACGAACTCGGGAAGGATTTCCACTTGCTCCTCCACGGCTGCGGGGGTCTCGGCGCGCTGGCACCAGTCCCAAGAGGAGTAGCTGGGGTAGTAATCCCACCTGTAGCTTCCCCAACTCCATGAAGACCATGTAGAGGAAGTTCGGGTCCAGGCCTCGTCGGTCGCGTGCTCGTCCCGGGCCTCCTCGTTCTCGCCATCACCTTCGGCTCCTGTTCCATTGGATGTAGTAGACGCCCAGCTTGATCTCCGACTTGACTGGTCGGGCCAGCCATGGTATGAAGGTTCATACCAGGAGGACGTAGAGGTCGATGGCGGGGTTGCCGTAGTCGTTGGAGGAGGCTTCCGACTCATCACTCGCTTCAAGGCCTGGCAGGCTCGCCAGTAAGTTTCTGTCTTCCTCGTGATATAGTCATTGATTCCCTCGCCGACGCGGCGGCGACTGTTCCGGAAGTACTTGTTCAGGAACTCGGTGGCCTCAGGAATCTGCGGTCGGCCCAGGCTCTGCCGAAGGTGTCGCAGAAACACTGCCACGCCCCCATTGAATGAAACCCATGTAGGCGGTTTGCCCACAATCATTCGCTGGGCAGCTCCTGAAAGTTCTCCGCACAGTCGCGGTCCACATAGGTAGCGGTTTTCATACTTGACTCCCTGCTCCCACACAAGCACTTGCTCCTCATAAGCTTGAAAAGTACTCGCACTCCCGTCCCAGGTTGGGACGCCGTCCTTGGAGCGGCCACTAAGCCCGCTCGTCATTTCCAGCCCGGTCTGACGGGGCTGGCTCAAAACTTAGGTCCCCGGATCGCACAGCTTCTGGAGCCCGTAGGCTCCGCTACCATGCAAGCGGGAAAGATAAGTAGTGGCCTCGCTTGCTCAAGACAGACAGTCGCCTCTGGAACTTCTCACGGGAGTGCCTCCTTTTTCCACGGCTCAGCAGTGGATCCCCTGGCACACTCTAAGAGCAGTCTCCTGATGCTCACACAGCTGCATTGACGCATGTGATGAGTCAAGCAGAACAAGTGCTGATCTTCTGTAAGCACTTGC